GGTTCTTGAATGTGAGGTTGAGTTTTGGAATATGAGCCGGGATGGTCCACAACAAACTATTTGAGCTATGAATTAGCATCAAAAGAAATCCCACGTTTGTTCTTGAACTAGAAACAAGAAACTAAATGAACTCAAAATCTCTAGAATGACACGAGTTGCAAATATATGGAGCTTTGTAATTTCATTTCAATCAAGATGGATTACGGTTATCCTAGCGCCTTCTGCTGTGCCTTCGGCTCTTCCTCCGACTACGTTCATCATCGGAATCAGATTCTGATTCAGAACCGGAGTCAGAGTCAGAAGATTCAGAAGATGAACTGTACCTCCTCTTTCTTCTCTCCCTTTTCGGCTTCTTTCTCCTTCTCCGACTCCTCTCTGATTCTGATTCAGATGAAGAACTGTAATCTGAACTGCTTCCAGAAACTGATGATGACCCACTTTCAGTCTCTAAAGCAGAGGCCTCACTATCGCTACTGGACCGCCCATGCTTTCTTTTGCTTTTCTTCTTCGAATGCTTCTCAGTCTTCTTCTTCTTCTCCTCCTCCTCCTCCATATCAGAATCCGGGTTGTCCAGATCATAAGAGGCTGCCATCTTCATCCTCAACTTGGGATTCTTAAGTTGTTGAGTTCGAGATGGCCGAGATATGTAAACTCGTTCGTTTTTGCATTCATACGTCCAATGCCCCACCTGATAACATTTCTGGCACTGTGCAGCAGCACCTCCACCAGCGCTAGACATAGAGCCCTTAAGGTCCTTTCTTTCACCCAATCTGACTGCTTTTTCAGTACTCATCAAATACATCTGCCTCTTTGCTTCCCTTTTCTCCTGCCATCTGCTAGGCCCTTCTTCCTTCTGCCCATAAGCATTAACATTTCGAGCAGCAGCCGCAGCTGCTCGTTCAGCCTGAGCACGACTGAGCCCCTTTGCTGTGTTGACTCTGGCAAATCGGATGTCGACGAAAAAGTTGACTCTGGCAAATCGGATGTCGACGAAAAAATTGGCCGAAGGTTTCTTCGAAGGAAAAATTAGCGGAAGTAAAAGGAGAGAGAGAGATTCGCTGGTAATGCTGAAGACTCGATATCTTTATTTTACATCCGTTGAATGGTTTAAATAATAAATCTAATTACAAAAATAGAAAAACCAAATATACAAAAATAGAATAAGTGGACGAAGACTCCGCCACTCTGCCAAAACAATGGCCCCTAAAATCACGCTCCTCCATTCGCGTGAACTCATATGTTTTTTACAAACCTAACTAAATAAGGCAGAGCTTTTATTTAACATGCTGCACTAAGAGCAGCGGCCTTAATCCTTTCAGCAGCAGCTTGCGACTTCTCTTCCTTCTTACTAGACATGCTTTTGTTTCAATAACTGAATCTAATAAACTGGCACAGAACAAAAGGAAAATGAAGAATAAGAATGCCAAATCAAGAATCAATAAACACTACCAAAAGAGAAGACGGCACAAAAACGAAGTGGGAAGCATTAGGTTTCCTTCTTATAAGACACGCTCTATAGCTTCTTCCACATTTCAACAGCTCTCCAAACTAGGATCAGATAGACCTTACAAAAAAACGAAGGAAGAACAAAATATAGAGCAAGTCTTAGGGTTTCTACCAGTACCGTAAAAGGCGAAAAAATAGAAGAAAATCGGATCAAATTCTAGCCCAAAGACCATAATCCAGAACACTCCATTGTTTCCGATTGATGAGCCGTAATCGAAATAGAACGCCGGCTTTATATCGATCTGCTTCGTAAACCAAATGGGAAAGTCGAAAGATCGGGACAATACGCGAAGCTTGCAGCTACTAAACCGCAAAAATAAGTTGAAAGAAGAGGAATCGCAGTTGGAACATACCTCGGGGATCCAAGATGAATTGGAATCCAGTTCGCGAAGGAAGTGAAGAAGATCGCAATGAGAAGGCGATTGTCGAATGAAACGCGAAGGCCAAGCGGAAGAAATACTGGGGATATCGGGAGAGGATGCGCAGGAGTCGGAACGGAATGGATCGAGGCTGTGTGAGTTCTTTATAGAGGGGGGGGGGGGGGGGGGGNTTTGATTTCCGTGTTTTGTGCATAGATCAAAATACCGACTCCCTCCATATTTAAGTTGTCAAATTTCGTTCAAGCTAGTATCTTATTTCTTTTAGGTCTTTGAACCATTTTGATTTTAGTTTCTTTTTTTTTTTGTTGTTGTTGTTGTATATGAAAGTATCAAATAAATTTATAAACATTCAACGATTTTATAAAAATGAAATAATTTATTAGATATAAATTAATTTGTGTCCAAGTTAGTAACGATCAAAAGTTCCATGGCCATACAGATTTTTATCCTGAGGTGCAACTATAGGGAAGAATTCAAATCTTACTATTTAGAAATTGTAAAAACCCATTTCTTCAACGACCAAAAGTAGTCATTAGAACCCTTTTCAAAAATGAAACATACATGCGCATTGGAGAGTTTAAAAAATGCTTTCAATGAACCATGCGAGATTACTTGTTGATTTTTTTTGTATTAACACATAAAACTAAAGATGTTGGATCTCTTAAATTTCAGATTTAGTACAACCTCTATGCTGTAACCAAAGAAATTATTACGAAAAGGAAAAAAAAAAAACGAAAAATGGAAAAGAAAAGCACCATAGAAGAGAGTCACTTGGTATAACAGAGAGTCAGAGTATCAAGGATACCATAATTTAAGCATGGAAGATAAACACCCCTAAGTTTGGCAGCCACAATACCTAGTAGTAGCAGTACTGGGAGAGCCTAAAATATGCCAGCAAAAATATTAGCAGCCGCCGACACAGCAGCGCCGGTGATGGCGCTTTGTACTATACGCTCATGAGAAGAGTCGTCTGATGCAAGTGCCACTGCTACACCCGTTACTGCACCAGCGATTGCACTGTTCTTCTGCTAATCAAATATCGAGGTTTTAGTGTTCTCTGAACTCAATTCTAGCTAAAAGCCCTGAATCATATGCCATATTTTGATCAAAACATGAACATTTATTGGTTATTTTTGTAGAAGGGTTACCCAGTCATGTGCTCCACGAGCCTCCTTTAAACCGTATGTAAGACCAGAATAAACACCAGCAGCTAATCCTACAGCCCAAAAGAACAACAAAGTTGGCAGAGAGCAATGAAGTAAAATTAAACAACACTAAATATGCAATTGAATCACACCGCCAAACCAAAAGCTTTCAGTTCATCACCCTCTCTGTAGAGGGAATCAAGATGAAGCAGAGAAATAATCTTCCAAGGTGAAGTATTATAAGACTGTAGAAGAGAATCTAGTAGTGAAGTTACGCTGGGAAAGATTTGAAAGGGACCAAATACTCAATTCGGTGACATCCAATTGGTGACTTGAAGAACACATAAATCAGATATGCAAGAAAGGTATTTAAGCCAGATTAGTATATTTGAACAGTTCAGAGAAGAGAAACTGACCCCATTGGATAGATTCTTGTCCCACGCTCTTCACCTGACATGCACCATAAATGAAAAATTCTTACATGTTTACAGACCACTACTCGCTGCAAATAATTCATCACAAATTCAACACAAAATCACCCGTCACAAGCACTCACCATGGCTTCAAGAGACTCTTTGTTGGTTTCTCCTGCACGGCATATGAAGAAAGTGAGCTTTAAGCATCTCAAAGTTCTTCATAACAAGTTATACAGAACCATAAGGGGCACTTCAATTTTAGTCTGTATCAAGAATAATTTTGCAAACCATGTCTCAAATGTAGCCCAAAATAATGCACATCTAACAGGTGGAATCAATCTGACACTATTAGTACTCAACTTACAGACATAGTTGACATTTTCACCAGGCAAGAAAAACAAAATCAAACCTAGCAAGGAAGACTTGAGAACGAGTTTGCTCGTGGATAAACAGAGTTTGATTCGGAAGAACGATCGAGTACCTTTGAGACCTGGAACATGTCGCTTTCTAGCTCCCGGTAATTCAGGCCGCGGTCCGTTGTCCGAATCAAGACCTGTACCGATGGTAAATTTCTTCCAAGCATTACAAATTTTTGTTAACCAATTTAACATCAATCGTTGCCTAAACGCGCAACATAAAGAAAAAGTACACAACAAAAAAGTGAAACAAAATAAAAAAACAAGTGTGATCGAATGTCGAGTCAAATAAAGCAAGGATCAGTTCGAAATAGTAAATGAGACGAATCTTACTCCCTGCAACCGTAAAATACGCCTCTCGAGACACAGATTGCAATGCTCCAATCTGTACAGCAAACCATCGACACCTTAGATTAACACATTGAGGTCCCAAACAGCACTATCACATCAAGATCATCACAGAAATAATCCGAAAGTAAAATCACAAAAGCTTACGCACCCCAGCGGCCTTGATGAAGCTATCAGCAACGCGATTGAGAAGAGGATGACCAAAGTCGTACAAGAAAGTTCCGCCCTGGGAGCATTTGATTTCATCAACCATAGAACGATTCTCAAGGCTTCTACTGCCCATTTCTTCTTCGAAATCTTCTTCTTCGGCCTACAAGAAACAGAGATTGACTATAACTGAACTCCAAAACCTGCTGCAGTCGATTTGATTGCTAAAACCAGTGAGACGAAGAAACGCTCGCATGTGCCTAAACTGAAGAATATACAAGGAGGACGCTGAAGAAATAGAGAAACAAGAACGGATCGACAGATGGTATAATAGGCAGTGACGTGTCATGCGAAAAGATCGGCTGCGTAGCAACTCCAGGAATGAAGTTCTTTACGTGGATTTCACTCCCTTGTTAACAACTCTTCTTTTTTTCCCTTTTTTAATAATTGAACTTAGAAACATTGTAAAAAATATTTTACTCTCTTAGCTACCCTTTTAAAAACGTAGTAAAAAAACATAATCAAAATTAAAAAACTGAAAAAAAAAAAAAAATATATATATATATATATATAGATATAATTTGAGGAAGGGGCATGATTTTATTTTTAAAATTTTAATTTAAATGTGCAGTAAAAATGTAATAAAAAAAAATTACTAAAAATGTGTTAGCTTAACAAAATCCATGTTCCTTTTGGAGGGAGGGACTTGCCCGTCTCCCTATCTCTACTGAATGACGTTAGTTTACAAAGTTGAACCCATGGATATAAATATTTGTATACACCCTAACCCTATCTCTTTTATCTTTGGGGTGGGGGGAGGGTTCAAATCAGATAACAAAATTTGATACCAACAACTGTTCAACTTAAAGCAACCGTTTCTAAACTCGTCATAATAGAACAGCCCGGTGCGAGGATGTTCAAAACGTTCGTTCGAATGCAACACAAGAAGCTTCCACAATCCACCACTGTCAGTACACCACACTATTATACAGCCATCAACTACCTCCTCCTTGCCTTTTGGTGCCAATTCATTCCAGGACTAGCTCCCCTTTGAACTTGCCGATCCAAGACTAGCCCGGGTCCGTTTTCGCACGACGCATATTCACAAGGCAAACGAAAATGGAAGGAACTTGCAATGACCCTGCCATGAAGAGAAAACCTAGGATCCATTTACAGTCATTTCAGGCGAGGAGTTCGGAGGAATCAATGAACAGTCTTCTCCATTCAACTGTCTATTTTCTGAAGGATTAAGCAATTGATCACAACACTTTTTAGAAGAAATTGGTGGCGTTTCTGTATGGTTCTCCTCGTCCACACTACTGTTGCTATCGGTTGCGGTTCTTAAAGCATTCTGCTCCTGCCCTTTCGGACTCTCGTGATCTGAACTATTATTCGGATCAATCAAATGGGGCTTAGGTTGCTGGGAGATGGCTGTAACCTTATCAGGCAGAACTGTATGGCTCAATGTTGAACACAAGGCAGTAAATAGACCATTACTCATCTTGGGATTCCTTCCCAGTCGCTGCTTTTTTGCCTCCTTGTCCTTGTGAACGGGCCTCCGCTTCAACCTGAGAGTATGCAGTGATCCTTCATCTTCATCCACTGTTTCTGATTGTTTTCGTGGCGGTGGCCTGTAGTTCTCATCGTCCTCTTCATCATCATAGTCAACAAGTCCACCACCAGGTTGAGGACTGGAAGAGTTGAAAACAATCAAAAACTGCTATTGTAATCAAATTTCAAGACAAAGCAAACTACAGTACCTTCGTGGAGGGTAACTTGCAGCAACTCCATTACATAGAACAGGAAAAGATTGCGATTTCTGTACATTTGAAACAGATGCAGTTGCAGTATCCTCTTCATCACTGATTGGTAATGAGTTAATAACAGCCCGATTTAATATTCTATTTAAAGAACTACGCTCAACTCTGTTGCATATAATGCTAAACATTACCATTTCAGCTTACTACATCGGGAAAAATGTATTCATTTCCTATAAATTAGAGAAACAATGCTTACCTCTCTCCATTAAAATAGTCTTCTTCTTCTTTCTCCAAAGCACGCTCCTCAATTCTTTTTCTAGGATCTAATACATTAGTAGTTGTGCCTCTTGTACTAAAATCCTCTAGGCACTGCAAATAGAGATGTCAAACACAAAATAATACAAGTTTTAAAGGCAAAATGGGATATTTTAGCCAAAAAAAAATCAAGAATACCTGCTCATATTTAACTTTTAGAGACTGGATTGTAGCCAAATGCTCAAACTGGACCAACTGATTCCAGAATGAACCAACTATGTACTTAAATAAAGATTTCAGATTTTCCTACATGAAACACAACCATTAAATCAATGTTCGACTGGAATCATCAGGGACAGCATAGGTGTGGTAGGAAAGATGAAGACCTTGCAGATATACTCAAATAAATCTAAAACAGCAGAGTTGAGCAGATTGTAACGATTCCCATTAGCAATGAAGGCATCTATAATTGGTTTTAGAAGATTATTTTTTATAAAATGATTGACCAGATCATCATCCTGCATATTGACAAAGAAAATAAGTCAGTACATTACCAATTTCAATCTGATTCAAAATTGAATCCCTCGGGAAGTGAACGAAAAAGAGGGCTGCAATTTCGTCAGTCCAATTTCCATGAATAAATACACAAGATAATTTTAATCTCCGCTGGTTCAACTTACATGGCGAGATAAAATAGTACGAACAAACCGAACAGCTGCAACAACCAAGTATTTTTCCTTTCTTTGAGTCAGTAACAACACTTTATCTATGACATTATTCACGAGAAAGTTGCTCCTGAAAACAGAATAGAAAAAAGTAAGGATTCGTAACTTTTATAGTTGAGAAAACTTCAACTCTAAGATAATAGAAAAAAAAAAGGACAAAATATTACTTTATTTTATAAGGATGGTGGAGAACACAAAAGCAAAGCAATTCACAAAGGTTGGATAGTATTTCAGGCTTTACTATGCTCTGATTCTTTAATACACTAGAGTGACCAATTTTGTTGCTCAATGTATGAAGACCTTCTGAAGGGCATGAAACTGCTATAACATCAATTAGTTTACCCAAATGATTCTCGTAAAATATCTCAACAACAGCTTCTCTCTGCAACACAAAAAACACAATATTGCAGTCAATGTAAAGTGGATACAGCGGACAATATGCAGGTCTAAATATAGATTGCATCTAATATAAACAGTTAATGACAACTATTTCCAAGAACCTGGTAAAAATGTATACATATATAAATCAGAAACATAAAAAATGACCTAATTCAAAACAAACAGAGCATGGACTTCAATTAGTTATCCTACCACTGAGACAAAAGGTGAGCAGTCCTATAATGTGGCATAGACAATGAGGTCTTTTTCATAATGCTTCTGAATAGAATTTACAAAATGAGATCATTGTAATTGGCTTTAAGAAGCACTCATGGATTGGCAATTCAACGCAAAGGCAAGGGCCTCCAAAATAGAGCATCAAGAGCTCTTTTCTGACTTCTTGGGAGGAGAAATCAAATAACTTTTTAAGGTATAAAGCCCTCCTTGGGTTCTTTTGTAATTTTGTACAGTTCAGGTCTTAATAATCATAGTACTTTTAAGAACATGCAACCCAAGTATGGACAAAGTAAAGGGACCAGTAGTAAGAACATGCAACCTAGGACAAAGTCGAGCAATACGACCTAACTGTAGTTCAATTCTAGTTAAAAGATACAACTCAACTATAAGGGATCATTTTGAAATGTTTAACCAAAGTAAACGTGATTAAAAACAGATGGCTAAGCAAACCTGAGCTGCTCCGGATAGCGAGTAGGAATCCAGTAAACATCGAAGGATTTCAAAAAACTGACAGTGCATCTCCTCCCCAAAATCTGTAATCAGGCCTTCAACCTATAGTTTAAAAAAAAAAAAAAAAATCTGTAACAAATTCAGCTTGAAAAAAGGATTATTACATGTTGAGCACATCTAACTTAATTTATGTATCAAATATGCTTATGGTTACTGATCCTACTATGTTCATAATTTCACTCAGCATCAATTTCCCCAATATTGCTCATTACATGAAGATAAGCATTAACCAAACAAGCATTAAATAAAAACAGGAGCCCTTTCTTGAAACACTTGTTTCTTCGTGTTTTTGGTTGGGCTCCTCTGCTTGTGCTGCTTTCATATGGGCTCTCCTTTTTCCTCTTTTGTAGTATCAGCTAGTATTTTTTTCACTTTTCTTGATGAAGGTTTGCATTTTCATTTAAAAAATACAACAAGGTTGAAGTCAGACAAACCAGATCAGAAAAACGTACCAACAGTCCTAGGAGTGGAATCCCTTCCTTCCTAACAACATAAGAACGTAGAAGATTTGGATCTTGGTTCAAGAAAAGAATAAGGATATCTGTCCTGCACCCATCCAAACAATGCATTATTGAGATGCCTAGACAAAACATAAAAATAGGTGGAACAAAACAGAAGACAAGTGCGTTGATAAAAAAATTGAGTAAAGAATAGTCAACTAGACTTTAAGGCAAACTTTTTCCTTGTTGCTGAAAACCTAATTGAATGGCAGATTCTTAAAAATGTTCTTAACAGAATGGTCAGATGAAAACCTTCAAGGATTCATTTTTTAAGAACCAAAGAAATTTGCAATGAATAGTACGAAAGAGTTAACAATGTAAGAGTTCCTTCTTAAACATAGATTTGTAGAACAAAGTACTAAAAATATTGTTTATGGAAACATACTCGAACAATACCAAAATTTAATCAGAAGGTCGACATTACCCAGTTAACACGAACTTTTTATCTGGACTTTGTAATACATCAGCAATGACATCAAAAATTCCCTCATTCATAAGATCCCTGCAGAATTTGTAAGTTCACAATTTGAAACAGATCAATCAGAGGCCTTAGAAAACAGAAACTGGTAGTCATCAGCATCTTAAACTAAAATAGAAAAATAATTAAAGTCGTAGGGTTTTATTATTTTCAAAAGAAAAAAAAAATAGTATAGCATGCAGTAAGGTACCTAAATAACCTTAGCTGCTGAACCATCTGCAAATTTTTGCTTAAACTGCAAAACTCGTGCAAAAAATGTACCTAACACAAAGAAAATCAATTTCATTTCAAATTGACACAAAATATACCTCAAGAACTTGAGAAAAAAATTATAGCATTAAAGACAAAAATCGTTGATTGAACAATATCATGATAAAGCCAAAAATACAATAAGGGAAAAGATAATGCGTAGAAGCAAAAGTACCAAATTCTTCTTAGACTCTTCAGAGGTTGTTGGCAATTTCAACTTGACAAACAACTCCTGAATAAATGTATTGTCATCCTTCAACAAAGAAACGACCTACAATGAAACCTGAAGTTAGAGTGTGTACCATGTGATAAAAACAAGCACATGGTTCCAAGAACCTACCAGCGCATTGTTTGCATGGATAATGGAATTTAGATTTGCAATTGTGGACTCGTCCAATACTCTAGCCAAAACAACATCCTAGCAAAGCAATCCAAGGTAACAGCACATTAACAACTAGCTCAACGGATAGAGAAATTGCATCTACCAAAGACCCAAACCTTTAGATAGCCAATTCTGTATGTTTGGTGTATCTTCGACAAGACCAATGGATCCTTGATGGGTATGGCCTACAAAAGTGGAAGTAGATAACGTACAAGTGAAAACCTCCACATAAGATAGCATAATGAGACCCCTGGGCCAACTGTCCTATGCTCTCATTTTTAAATATAGACAGCTAGGAAACAGCATTACCTCTTTGAAAATGACGTGCTCTTTTAAGAAGTTACGATGATGCTGGACATGGTCTACCTCTGGATCATCTAGCAATCACATAAAAAATAGAACGAAATCATTGAGGGTAGTCCCCTAAACCTATATCATATAGGTAGAGCAGTATAAATAGGTAGAGAAATTAGCATAATATAGACTATTTATCAAGCCCACTTTTCAGACAACAAAACCAAAGACGTAGAATAAAATAAAACAAAAGAGTACAGAAAGCCTCAACCCACGTCAAGAAAGTTACAAATACGACCTTCCAATTAGCCAACGAGTAGAGAGTTCATAATCACAAAACGTCTAGAATAAACTGGACTAAAACAGTGCAAGGAAAGCGAGATAAAACTAAATATCCACTAGTGTGCAACATATTTCTACTTTCAATATAAAGAAACAGTTATAAACTTACAGACAATCATCAATTGAAAAAGTAGCAGAGCTTACATTCTAGAGAACCAATGATGTCCATGATTAACTCATCTCCAAAAATTTTCTCAAAGATCTGTGATCTATTTAGCATGACTGCATTTTATTCAAAAAATTAAACATAAAAAAATATAAATAATTGCTGGCAATAGTAGTAAATAGAACCGGAAAAGAATACTGACTGATCCCTCTGATTATTTTATATATCATGTGAAGACCATCTAGATTTTCCAAATCTTCGCAGATATGAAATATGTCCATCAGCTTTTTGAAAAAATCTTGCTGCATTACGAAAAATTGTGGGTCAAAATACTCATTCTTGTTCATCCAAGATAAAGATTTCATACAGAAGTCATAAGAGAACCCAAATTGACATGAAAAATCAGAAAGTTCCCCAAATCTTACATTGGCAACTATGAGTTCCATTAACCGCATTTGATCTGTAATCCCACTTTCAGTAACAACCTGAACAAAACGTATCAATTAATATGAAAGGCCGTCCACATCCAAATAATCAACAAGATAAGATAAATCAGGGGAGGAGGACATCTATCTCCATAAGCCAATCACTTAGAGAGTAAATTTTTTAACTTGTTTTATGTTTTCTTTGAGGGTGCAGGAAGAGCAAAAAAGTAGAGAGAGAGAGTGGGTACTCTTAGAGTCAGTTTTCGAATTGATTTATGTTTTTAGAAAAAAAATAAATCTACAAGAGCATGTTCTTGTAGTCGCTCATTAAAAGTTCAACATGTTTGGGAGTGGTTTCTAAAACAATTTTCCAATTTGGTTAATTGCTTTAAGAACACGTTTTATCTAGTTTTTTAGTATTACATTCACACTAACCTTAAGTATTAGTGGCAGAGTCGATAACTCAATTGCAGGCAACTCCCTTAACTCACTGTTCATGCTGTGGAACGTATCATCTGGCCATATAAATGAAAACAAAGAATTATAGAAAACTAAAATTTGCCAATATAAATGCAACTTCTGTTTATAAATTAGCCACAATTTTGGTAAGAAACCAAGCATGCACGTGATGATTTTCATATCAAAACTGGAACTCTAAACAAAGAAAGGAAGTCATGGGAGTTCCAACTCATTGCCATGATACCTAATTCAAACAAATAAAAACAGTGTTCCACTCTTCCTCAATTTCACAAAGAAACACATCTGTTCATTGATATTTAGGAAATTAAAATGCTACCTTTTAGATTTGAAACTAAATCTTTCAAATTTAAACACTCAAATACTGACATGAGATGAACACAAAAATGAAACCTCTTAGGAAATAATTCCTTTTCAGCCTTCTCATAAAAAACACATAACATCCCAAACCTTGAAAGTGGAAACAAAGCCTATCATAAGTTCCTACTGGAAGAACAGTGAAAGAATATGTGAGGAAGGTTATCCCCACCTTCAAGACACAAAATACAGCAACTCCAGTTTAAAGACCAAGAATGACAGGTTTTCAACCCTACCAATCGGATTGAATCTTTCCAAGAAGACTAGCCATGGAAAAATATTCACCTTTCTCTGACTTCCACGAAGCTAACATGTCAGGCCTCCTACTAAACATGTACATACAAGAAGGCACATGAGGAGGGAGAGTGGGAATACTAATTTGTTAGAAAATAGTTAGTGAGTGCACCAGAGAGAATGTTTTAGATTTGGTTTGTCTATTTTGTGAGATATTGTACTGGGGGAGAGGGAACACTCTCTTCCCTTGACATTTACGCTTATTGAGCTTGTCATCCCATCTGATAGTTCCAATTGACCATAAAACTCACCCATCTCCTCATCCTAAAATTTCTAGTGGTAATAATTCTCAAAGATCTCCCATTTTCATCCCATGCACCAACTACCATTGAATCTTAGCTGTCTAAATCCTGATAAATCAATCATGGTTCACTCTCTGATGACATTTATAAGATTGTGACAGATTTACAAGTATTCTTCTAATTGCACAGCACTGACAGAAAGCAGAAACCAACAAAGACAAGAAATAGATAAATATACTGAAAATTAATTTTCCAAGGCAGTTACGTAATCAGTGTGTAACAAAGTACCTGCTCAAATTCTATATTACAAACAATATTCAGATTAATGTCAGGTATTTGGTTTAGAGGAAATGGAAAGAGAAACAAAACTTTTTTCCTTAATAAAACTAAGTATACACTACTAGACAGATTAAAACTTTCATTTGAACAGTGAACTACAATTTTCTCTTTAATCCTAAAAAGGTCAAAGGTATACTTCATATTTTCAAGCCTAGTAACTACAGCCCTCTTCAGTACATCGGAGTTTTATGTTTTAAGCTTTGGCATGTTAACCTCCTACTATGTACTAAGTTCAAAGCAAGTTTCCCACTCAAGAGCCAGAAATCACCTCAGTAAATGTAGCCTCCACTCCATAACAGTAAATCTACAACATTAAGTATCCTATCATGATACATGCAATGCAAAGAACAAAATTGAAAACGTTCAATGGCAAAAAGCCTCAACTAACTGGGTACTTACTGTTGAGAGAATTAAAATGGAGATTCCTTTGCGCATTGCAGATGTGATCCCTAAATAAGATGGGCCAACTTTCAGCTAGTATATCATGGGATAAAACATGAAGGAGTGACAGGCAGATATTCAATAGTTACCAAATGTATGAACATCCAGTTGTCTCCTGAAAGCTAAGAGCTAACTCTGTAGAATATTCTGGGTCTCTCCAAGAGATTATGGTATCTGCATATTAAGTAGCTGACTTTGTTAGTGCTTCAAAAGCCAATACAGCCCATCATCCAAACCAACCAGGAATTCAAAATAGTGCAGGTACACATGGCAAAGAAGACTCAAATTGATGATACTGCTAAAAGTCTACAAGAAAAGAAGGAAAAACCTTCTTGCTTTCTGTAAATGTCATCTGAACTAATACGATGTAGAAGTAGAGTCTCACTGTCTTCTTCATCAACAACACACAATCCCAACTCTTCCGATCTCTGAGTAGAATTGAATTGACAGTCATATCACTGAAGATCATGTTAACTAAACTTCTTTGAAAGATTGCACAACCTCTTTTCTATTGTATTCTCTTCATCGGTAGTTCAATGTTTCTTAACTAAAATAAAGAAAATGGGGGAATTCAGTCACTAACCTCCAAATAGTCAACAGTAACATGCCCTGTTCCTTGATCATCCCATTTTCCATCATCATTCAAACGATATACTTTGACACGCTGAAATTTGAGGGTATAAACGATAAGGATAAAGTACAACCTCTTGCAACAAATGAAATAGATAAAATGTGTTGGCTGTTTCAGAAAGCTGAATTCTTGTTGCTAGGAATGGGTAACCATGAAATCAGTAACGTGTTTGTTTTATTGGCAGGAGTTGGAAATTACAAGATTTAAACCTTTGAATTGACCAATAAATTTATTCACAAGTCAAGCGCTATCTCTTTGTTTGAGAAAACTGAGTTACCATTATGTACTGTGCACTAGGAGTCGTTGTTCTGATAGCTCTACAATTGCACTTATGCCGTTAAATGCAACTCCAGCTAGTGCTAAAAAATTACTCAATATGCTTTGAATTGAAGTACTTAACCAGTGCTCCTTCGAATAGTGCTAACAGGTAGAATATCCATCTCTTACTGTAAACTTTTTAAATAATAAAATGTACAATTTAATTATTTTGACAACCCTTCAGTGTTTCTCAGTAGCTATAATTTCTTAGATCCTTTAGGTGTTAACTATTCGCACACACTCAAAGCTTCGCAGTTAGCTTCAAACAATAAAGCCTAACCCAACATTAGTCCAGAATAAGTAATTAGAAAACAGTACTTGCTTCTTGGATCGTACTAACTAGAGAAATAAACTCTGGGTTGAAGAGCAAGTTAAATTTCCATAAATAGCCAGTCGATAGATACAGTTACTCAAACAAACTCTCCAACGAAAGCAAATATGATTAACAAACAAATTGTACACCAAAAACGTACAACACGCAATACCAATTAAATAACAGATAGCAACATTCAGAAACCAGCCTCGGCCACGAAATCAAAAGGCTAACCACATGTCTGCGCCTGGCAGCACTCAGTGTCGAAGTACCGAGCTTCCCAATATAATAAACAACTCACCTGCATAGAATTGGAGGTCGCGGGAGATCTATCTGGGGCGCCCATACCAACTGCAGCTAAATTGACTCAACTTCAAAGGCAGTGTTGAAGTGGAGTGAACAGCAACGGAAATTGGTGCATGGAGAATTAGGGTTTTCCAATACAACGAAACAGGGAGAAGAAGAAAGTAAATAGAGAGCAAGTATTTCAGTGAGAGTTGAGAGAAGAAGCCCTAAATGCCATGGACGAAGCACTGGGAGCTTTCAATTGCTCGTATTTCGTCTGTGTTCCTCTGTGTTCCTCCGTCTTCTTCCTCCTCGTCTGGTGTTTTTGTTCCTTTCCACTTCTCGAGCCGTAGGAAAGATGGAAAAATCATCTCACATATTGGAAATAGAAACCTGAATTTTCAGTTATGCCATTCATTTTTCATAAAATAACAAACGGACCACTTCCCCAATTATGATCCCGTAATTTTACGCGCTCTTTTTTTCCCCTTTTACGCGCTCTTTTTTTCCCCTCTTACGCGCCCTTTTGTTGCCGTCTGCCGATTAAGCTTCGGGTCGATGATGGAAAATATTTTGCAATACTCCAACCATATTATCTCTGCTCTCTTCTAAATTAGTCTGAGCCTTCCTCGAATGAGCTCGATCGATTCTCATTAGAACACACTATCTATTTAAAAGCTCACGGTCACGTTAAAAGACATGACTTTGATACCATTTATTTGAGTCAATCGACTTCACCGTATCTCTATAGTGATATATGAATCCTCGTGGTTTTGCCCGATTTACTTCTAATAGAGAAGATTGTTCGCACACTTGTGATGTTCTCTTTATCTATCAAATGTGAGATTTTTGTTTGTCTTTCCAATAATATATCAACCATTTGCATACACGAGCATAGCTCAACTACCATATGCATGTGTACCATAAGCATGTGGTCCAGTTATAACGTTAAAATATAAATACAATCATAGTAGACAAATTATACTTGATTTTAGGTCACAATATTTTCTATTGAACAATGTAAGGGGTCGAGGATCATTGCAATGTGCAATCTCCGTTTTTGTGGCCTCAGGCGCAAGGCCTTCGGGTTTTCGTCGCTCAAACGCATTGATTCCCATAGAGTTCACATATTGGCTGGCTCGAGATCGACGAGGAAGGTCTCTGCTGCTCCATCCAGCAATAGAAGTCAATCCAAATCCACTCATTATTAGAGCTGGTGTTGTTGGCCATGGAGCGGCACTTCACGCTGTCTAGAAGGTAGGGAAAGAAGTTTTGGTTGCTCGTTTCTTTCATTTTCGACGAATCTTTTGGAGCTCGAGTTTCGAAGATGGAGCAATCAGGAAGAAGCTACCAACTATTGAGAGAAAAGTAAGACTACTACTTTTCCCTCCTATAACATAACATGCATTCTCTTAATATGAAGAAAAAGCTCTTAACCTCTCATCACTTGCCTCACGACCATTGTAGGACTAATTGTGGTTACAGAGGCATAGAAATCTTAAAATTTGAAGCCTAATAATATTCATATAACTACGTGATAAAACACACGAAAAGAAGAAAAAGGAATACGAAGCTACCTTACAGAGCAAAATGAACTAGGAAAGAATGTCCCATTGGCACACCGTCCAAAAACAAGAACATTCATGAAAGCTAATTACAAAGGGAGTTCCAAGAACGTTCTGTCCAAAAATCTCAATGACAATATCTCAAATAATAGACAGCTCTAGTAATAGCAAGGAATCATAAGACAATGAAAGTCTAAATTTATCAAACTTGATTTTCGTGTGCACAAGAATGAGTTAAAAGTTCGCCCCATATTCAAATAATCTAAGCTAAATAAGAGTGAAGAGTGAAGAGTATTAAAACCATTGGAGCAAGGAGAAAAGATAATGGCTTATAGCTAATAAGAGTGAAGAGAACATGAAAGTAAAAAATGATTGTGTATGAAGATGTAAGCAATAGTCAAGACCTTAAAAAAAAAAAAAAAAAAAAAAAAAAAAAAAAAAAAAA